TATGAGTGATAAGAACAGGCAGCACTTTTAAAGCCAAACTTGGTTTAAAGTTCTGGTAATGCCAGGCTTTGGGAGGTTGAAGAGGGTGGATTGTTTGAGCTAAGGAATTCAAGACCAGCCTGAGCAAGAGTAAGACCCTATCTCTTCTAAAAATAGACAGATTAGCTGGGTGTTGTGGTGGGTGCCTATAGTCCGAGCTACTTGTGAGGTTGAGGCAAGAGGATACTTGAGCCCAACAGTTTGAGGTTGCAGTTAGCTGTGATGTCAACAGCACTCTATCCAGGGTGACAAAGTGAGACTCTGTCTTAGGAGAAAAAAAATTAAATTCTGGTAACTATAATCTTGAGCAATTTATTCATTCTTTCTGGGCCTTGGATTCCTCATCTATAAAATGATGTTAATGGTGCCTACCTTACGAGACAGGAAAGACTAAAAAAAAATCATATCTTTAGGGTGGTGCCCATGGCTCAGTGGGTAGGGCACTAGCCCCATATGCCAAGGGTGGAGGTTTCAAACTCAACCCCGGCCAAACTGCAACAAAAAAACAGCTGGGAATTGTGGCAGGCGCCTGCGGGCGCCTGTAGTCCTAGCTACTCAGGAGGCTGAGGCAAGAGAATCACCTAAGCCCAAGAACTGCAGATTGCTGTCAGCTATGACGCCACAGCACTCTACTGAGGGCAATAAAGTGAGATTCTGTCTCTACCAAAAAAAAAAAAACCATATCTTTAAATTAGATGACATTCAATAAATGATCAGGAATCAGCAGTTACTTTTATTGTTTTGGGCACTAATTTCAGATCTATAATATAACCAATGACAATAATTTGTACCAGAAAAATCATAAAACTGGGGTATGGTGGCCTGGGCCTGTAATCCTAGTGATTCAGGAAGCTTAGACAGAGATCGGTTAATCCTGGGCAACATAGTGAGACCCTGTCTCTAAAAAATAAAATTAAATTAAATTTTAAAAAAAATTACAGGACAAAGGTGATCTGATTTGAACTGTACATGAAGTGTGAATTCCCTTAATAAATCTAGATCCTACATACTTACCTGTGTAGATGAACCCATGACCATAGCTACTTGGCTTTCTAATGTATTTGGTTCAAAAATCAGATTTTATAAAATTTTGTTATAGTTTTATTGAGATTGAAATTCACTAAATCCTTAAGTTTATGTATTTTAAATGAAGATTTTAACAATTTAAGCACCAATGTTTGAAAATTAAACAGCTGACTTAATAGATTCTCTGCCCTGTTTCCCCCAAATCCTTTCTTGTTCCTGTTACCCTTAACTGCTCTGAGGAGGATGAGATAGGACATTCCTAACTACGTTAAGGCCCAGCTGGGCAGTAACTATATGACACTGAAGACTGGTAGTGTCTGTTCCAGTTTGGAACTCATTAACATAGCCTTTCATAAAAACTGTTTCAGTCACCAGATAGACTACACACCGTTCTCTGAAAAACAGCTGTGGTGTAATAGAAGTGATTTCAAAGCCAGGAGTCCCCAGTCTGCCACCTCTCATGAGATTCAATGGCTGCCTTGCTTTTCTCACCTGAAAAATGAGGCTTTGCAAACAGGCCTGTGGTAAGAGTCAACACGATAATGCCCGTGAGAGCACTGGGGAAACCAGAAAGCCTCTTTCAGATGGCAACTCCTATTTATAACTTTTTCCACAGAAAAACTCAGCTACTAAAAAGAAAGAAAACTTCAGCTATAAAAGATGTAATATTCTCAAAATGTTCTTGACAAATTTTTAGTAAAGAAATTTATGAATATGTTAAAAATGTTCAAGTTGAGGACTAGATGATGAAAACAGGCATTTGATGTAAAATTGGTATATTTTTAAATCTCTAGAAACATCTTTTTGTTCCTACATTATCAATAAACCCAAGGGTGATCAACACGAAAAAATTCTCAGAACCCAAGGTCATTTTTCTGGCTCCTCAGGAACAAAATCATTAATGTGGTTTACATTGGCACAGATCCCGACCCAAAGAAAGGTAACAAGCCTAAGACTAACAAATCAAGCTTCAAGCAACAAAAGAAAGTTTTACATCAGATATTTACCTAGATTTAGGTTGCTATAGATTCTGCTGGAGACATGAAAGAATGTGACATTTCTTAAAATGATAAACATCACATCCTGTCATTACTGTGGAATTCATACTGACCATTTAAAAAATTCTCTTCAAACAGCCCTCTCTTCAAAAGCTTTACATGTCTGTTAAAATAATCATGGCGCCTGAAAGAAATCAATTTGTTTAAAGAGTTAACTCTCCACACCCTTTCTATAATTTACTAAATGAACAGTGACAGAATAAAACGAAAAAAAATCTTTTTTTCCTTCTATAGCATTAAAATATGACAGATATTTTGCAACGTCTATACTAGAAGGAGATTCGAGTTCTATCAGAAATGCAACCAGAATTAACAGCTGAAAAAATAAGTTTTCTATCTTACCAGAGAAAAGAGTATGTTAAAACCATAATATGCATCCAACAAGGACTGTTTATAACACACAGCAGAACTTTTACTTCCTGAGACTTTTAAACAGTTCCTGTGACTTCAGTACTTTGGCCAGAGATAGAGGCATGTTTTGAGATTGCGTAGGTTTTATTTTTGGTTTTTGGTTACATTTAAAATAACCTTTATTGAGTTACACAATGAATTATATTTTGAGCACATCCCCTAATCACAGGCTTATAGCTATATAGGTTTTATTTTATTTAATTCTCTCAACAGTCCTATAAGTTAATGAATGGTTAGTTAATGTACTCAAGTCCATGTAACTAGTAAGGTGCTGCTTTTCTGTGAATCATGCTTAAAAGCAGTAAGAGCCAAGATTCAATCTCAGACTGTCTGACTCCAAAGTTCCTAATCACTTCGTTCTACTCTGTGATGAAAAAGGGTAGCAAAAAGGAAAATAAAAAACAGATTAATTTTATAAAGTTTCAGGCTTCTACATCAAGTATTTATCTAATAACTGCATTATTCTGCTGCGTCAGGATCTATTCCTTTTTAAAGAACTTCATATAAGAAAAAGTATATAGAAAATATCACAACCTTAAAAAAAAAAACTTTATAGGCAAGCTAATTTTATAATAGAGCTTAAAACAAAAGTCGAAAGAAAAATTCCTGGAGGAATTAGTACCACAACACCTGGCGGGGTGCAAATCAGTTTTTGGATTAAATCATTCATTACACAGTCTGCAAGACAGTGCTTGCCATCTGAAGATGGTTCTGTTTTGTAGTCCCTGTACTAGTTTCCCTTTGTGGAATGAAGACGGACAACTCAAGCAAATAATGGCAAAACGTTGTTTTCCTTTTCAAGTAACCAGAGTTAGTTCAGAATGTGTGGAATTTCAATGAATTAGAATACCTAGCTGAGTCAGTGGCTCTCTTCTCTTCTTTTGTTATAATTAAAGTATGCACAGATCCAGTCAATTAGTGCCTAGCAGTGAAGAAGATCTTGTTCCTGAATGGTGTTTTTCCTCTTGTTAACATTTAGAATAAGTAAGACATTTTTAAGGTAGGCTTCCCCTCCACCCCCCCCCCAAATACATATTTCCAGAAGTTACCTTAATATTTGTAAGGCAGTGTGTCTTTGACACTGTTTGTAACCAATGCTTTTTCCAACCCCCACTGGAAGCTGTCATAACTGTTGGGGACGTTCCCATTACAACCTGGTGCTGTTATGCAATGAGGACAAATGTCTGCAGTAATAGTGAACATTTACTGAGCAAGACAAGGCAGGCCCAGTGGTGTGCCCTTTGCAGGCATGGCATCTTCACCACACCTCTGTGAGGTGAGTACTGCCATTTACGGTTTCATGGAGGAGACAAGTGAGGCTGGGGGAGGGGTCTAAGTAACCCACCCAAAGGCAAACAAAGCAAGCAGGGTAAGGTTATGAACTCAGGTATGACTCCAAAGCAAGGAAGAGAGTCCCCAAACCCCACAAAAATCATGCTATCACCCCTCTTCAGCATACAACATGTAAAGCATCCAAACAACTTACAACTTTAAAAAGAGACCAAGTTGACCAGCCTAAGCAAGAAAGAGACCTGTCTCTACTAAAAATAGAAAAACCAGCCAGGCTTGTGGCAGGCGCCTGTAGTTTCAGCTACTGGAGGCTGAGGCAAGAGGATCTCTTGAGTATAGGAGTTTGAGGTTGCTGGGAGCTGTGAAGCCTCCGCACTGTAGCCTGAGAGACACAGGGTGACTGTCTCAAAAAAAAAAAAAAAAAAAAATTAAAAAGAGAGAGAGAGAGACCAAGTTGAAAACTTTCTACTCCCACACAAAAAGTGTAGAATGGGGAGAAGACAAGAGCCAGTTCACAGCACAGTGAAAAGGGCCAAGAGCCATGAATGAAATCAGTCTGAAATTGAGGCACAGGGACTTGAATACTGCAGAAGTAAGACAGCATAAAACCAACCAAGAAAACGAAATGATGAAGTCCGCAGCAGAAGGCTGACAGAAGTTAACATAGCACTACTGCAAAGGAAGCTGTGACACTGAAAGTCACATAAGGAGAAAGAGGAAGCCAGAGGGTTTAAGGGCACAATCAAGGCTGACTCCACAACCCTCTGGTTTTCAGACTGCTACTACGGGTAAATCCACGAGTGTGGTTTGCACACTTCTCTCTTTAAGTTACCATTTAATACATCACAGATGCATGAAGGGCGTGAGTAAAGGAAGGTGTCAGGCTCTTGGTAACACGAAGAAACGAGCCTTTGCTCTTTTGTACCTGTCGCTGGAGACTTCTACAGGCTATCAAGTTAAAATGACTCGCTCCCGGAGCGCCGCGTGGAGGGGAAGCTGGTGCGACTCGGCTGTCCTAATCGCCGCCAGCATCCAAGTTTGTGCCAAGTCACACCGCGCTTTATCCGCTCCCAGCAACGCCACCTCCAGCCACATCGATGGACCCAGCACTTATCCGCGCTCGTGTCCGCCCCGCGCGGGGTTTGGGGGCGCAGCCGGGACCCCGCCAGTCCTTACCTGCCCAGCTCCCGGCCGGGGCACAGGCTGTAGCCGTCCTGGAAGGGCTCGGTGCGTACTGCGGCGCGGATCTCAGTCTGCAGCCCGCGGGCTTGGGGCGAAGGCTGCCGGCGCGGCGTGCTCAGACCCCGGAGGGCCGGGCCCGAGCCAGTGGCGGTGGCGGGGGAGGAGTCACCGCTGCCCGGCTTCTCCAAAGGGATCATGATGCTCGGGCGCGCTTCCTTCCCGGCCGCCCGGCTCTCTCCTAGAACCCGGTGGGTAACGGGCGCGCCTCCGGCTGCCTCGCGCGGCCGTAAGGAGTCTCCAAACACCCGCTCACCCTTGCGCCGCGCTCAGACTGCGGCCACCTAGTTCCTGGCAGCCCGGCGTGGCCCCGCCCAGGCCACGCCCCCTTCCGGCCCCCTCTCTGAGCTCCTCCCGGATCCCCAGCGCCTGGTGCGGCGCGCGCGCGCGCGGGCGCGCTCTCTGCAGCCCAGGGGGAGAAGGTGCAGGTGGTTCCACTCGCGCGGCCTGGAGGCAAGTGTAGCACCCTTTGGGCACTAGGGCCAACTACATTAGCCAGTTGCGCACTTGTTGAACATCTGCGAATTTTGAAAGCTGACCCAATGAAAGGCATAAGAGCTAAGAGCAGGACCAACACGGATCGCTTTCTCTTGGGCAAATGCGTAAGGGTGATGAAACCCTGATTTCGGCTGCTGTAGAACGCATTAGGCTGGGGGGCTGCTCCTAGCTGCTTTGTACAATGAGAGAGGGATCTGGAGGTAGGAGAGGTATGTATATTATTAACCCCGCTCACCAGGCCTAGGGAATTAGGCACTATTATCTCGTCTGTAGTCTTCTCTTTATTTATTTTCAATGTACTCTCATCTCAGCCCAATTAGAGCTTTAATTGCCATTTGTATGCTTATGACTACAGAATTTATATCTCCAACTTTCATATCATTCCCTGAACTTCAGACTCATATATTTAACTATGCACTTGGCATCTCCATTTAAACGTCAAATTAGCATCCAATTTTTAACATATATACAAAAGTAAATTCTTGATTGTCCTTCATAAATGGGATCCTGTCTAGTTCCCCCCATCTCAGTTTTTGCCATTTCCGTCCTTCCAGTTGTTCAGGCCAAAAATCTTGGAATAAGCATTGACTCCTATCTTTCTCTCATACCTTTCATCCAATTTGTCAGTGAACTTGCTTGGCTTTACCTTCAAATTATCTGGAGAATCTGATCACTTCTCTCTATGTGCACATTACTACCACGACCTGAGTCACCATTATCTCTAGTCTGGATTAATGTGATATGTACTAATGTAATGTAATAATCCCGTATAGTTCATTTTCAGGGTAATGAGAGTGATCTTCTAAAAATCTAAGTTAAATCAGTTCATTGCTCTGCTCAAACAGTTCCGGTAGAGTTTCCCTTTTGGAAGTGATGGAGTAGCTTATTTGTGATCTACATTCTCACTGAGAAAAATTAGAAAAGTTAACAAAGTTACAAAAGACCCTCCCAAGTTCTCCACTTAAAGGCATCCAAGAATTTCAAAACCAGAAAGGACTTGGCTAACTAAAATTCCAGAAAGGGCAACTAGAGAGGCACCACTTTTCCCATGAGGCACGAACAGTATTTGATGATTTTAAAGCAATGGCTGAAAGGGTGAAAAAGCAAACAGACCTTTCAGCCATCTCATGGGGCTGAGGGAGACAGAAAAATGGAAGTTAGGACCTATTTAGGAAGTGGAGTTGTCAGTAATTAGGCCTAGAGGTAAGACTCTGAAAGGTTAGATCCCAGGAGCCTGTGTGAAAGGGAAATAGGCCAGCCCTCACAAGGACCGAAGGCCAACCTCACAAGGACCGAAGGCCAACCTCAAAAGGACAGACGACCAGCCTCAAGAGGCAACAGTGAATTTCCTCTGGTGAAAAAACAGCATCATCCAGAGCTACACGTTGTCTGAATAATATTTTATTATGTCTGACACTTGAAGAAAATAGGACACACAAAAGGAATTGTCTTAAAAACTAAGGGAAAAAGAGATAAACACATGGAAGATGCAGATATTAAAGACAGATTTTATAATTGATAAAAGCATAAAATGATTGTGTTTAAAACCTTCAAGATTAATATTAATGTTAAATGTATTAAAATTAATGTCTTTAATAGAAAAATGATCCTGTTTAATGTCTTCAAGCAATTAAATGAGAAAATGGAGACAGCAGAGAACTGGAAACTCCAAAGATGAATAAAATGAAATTTTGTAATTGGGGAAAAACCCCACAAACTAAAACTACCAACGAATGATGGGTTTAATTACAGATTAAATATAACATAAGCAAGAATTAGTGAACCTGGCTAGTTAACTTAATATGTAAAGTGAAATACACAAAATGAAACACAAGAGATAAAAAGACAAAGTTCAGAAAAGAAGATAAAACATGATGTGTGGTTAAATATTTTAACATATATTTAATTGGAATATCAAGAAAGGAAAGAGAAAAAAGGAGAAGAGGAAATATTTGCAAAGACACCAAATGGAAAAAAAATCTTTTAAGATAGAGTCTACTCTGTTGCCCCAGGCTAGAGTGTCATGATGTTAGTTAGCCTAGCTCACGGTAACCTCAAACTGCTGGGTTCAAGCCTCTTGTCTCAGCCTCCAGAGTAGCTGGGACTATAGGTGTCCCCACAAAGCCCAGCTAATTTTTTCTATTTTTAGTAGAGACAGCAACTTGGTCTTGTTCAGGCTGGTCTTGAATTCCTGAGCTCGAGCAATCCTCCTGTCCCAGCCTCCCGCAGTGCTAGGATTACAGTCCTGGTTTGGTGGCTCAGGACTAGGTTTGAGTCACCAAACCAGGACTAGGAATTTAAAAGACTAACGAATGACAACAACTCTCAGAATCATGAAACATTATGAGTATCAAGCAAGATTTCAAGCAAAGAAAACTTAGGCAGATTATAGTAAACTACTGAGAAACAAAGACAAAGAGAAAATGTTTAAAATCAGCCGAGAAAGCAGGTATATAACCTGTAAAAGAGCAACACACAATCAAGAGCTTATTCTCAAAGAACCAGTGGAAGCCTAAACACCTTCAAATGTCTTCAGAGTGCTGGGAGAAATTAGTTACCAACCTAGATTAATTACCTTATAAAAATACTCGTCAAAATTGAAAGTAAAATACATGCATTTTCATTTACTTATTTATTTTTGCAGTTTTTGGCCAGGGCCGGGCCTGAACTTGCCACCTCTGGTACATGGGGCCAGTGCCTTACTCCTTGAGCTACAGGCGCCACTGAACACACATTTTTTTATAAAAAAGAAACACTGAGATGTTCAGCTGACCTATATTAAGGGACGTTCCAAAAGGAGTTCTTCAGGCAGATGAAAGCTAATTCCAAATGAAATCATGGAGATGTCTAAAGGACTGAACAGGATGAAAAGGGTTCAGATGTGGCTAGACAGAAAGAAATGAAAACTGTGTAAAATAATAAAAATAACGTGATGTGAGGTTTAAATATATATGGAGTTAAGATATACATAATTATCACAAAAAATTAGATAGAGTAAATGGAATTCAAATGTTACAAGGTCCTAGCATTCTCTGAGTACTGATAAAAGTACTTGGCTTTCATAAATCAATATTGAGATTGCGAGGTCTACTGTAGCAGCTAAAATAATAGAAAAGAATGAGTGAATAACGACTTAATAGAGGAAATGGAATAATTAAAAAAATTAATATTTTAAGAAGCAAGAAGGCTGGTGCAGTGACTCACACCTGTAATCCTAACACTTTGAGAGGCAGAGGCAGGAGGATCACTTGAGGTTCAGAGTTCAAGATCAGCCTGAGCAACTCAGCAACACTTCATCTGTTTAAAAAAAAATTAACCAGGTGTAGTGGAGCACACCTGTAGTCCCAGCTGCTTAGGAGGTTGAGGTGAAAAGATTGCTTGAACCCATAAGTTGGAGGTTATGTCTATAGCCTAAGTCACAGTGAGACCCTGTCTCCAAACAAACAAACAAATAGAACAAAACAAAAAACAGAAGCAAGAAAGGAAAAAAAGGAACATAGAACAATAGGATGGTAAATTTAAACAGAAGGATTTTTTATTTGCAGCAATTACATTAAATAAATATAAATCTGTAACCCCCAATTAAAAGGCAAATGTAGACAAGTTTAAAAAATAATCCCTCATATATGTTCCTTCTAAAAGACGTCTTAGAAGGTTACAGAAAGATTGAAAATAAAAGGATGGGAAGAATTATGCCATGTGAATACACGTACACCTTCTCTCTTGCTCTTTGTTTTATTGCACTTTGCTGGTATTGTGTTTTTTACAAATTGAAGGTTAGTGGTAATCCTTTCCCAATAGGATGTGCTCACTCCTGTCTCTGTGTACATTTTGGTAATTCTCCCAGCATTTTAAACTCTTTCATTATTATTATATCTGTTATGATCTGTGATCAGTGACCTTTGATATTACTATTGTAATTGCTTTTGGGTGCCACAAATGGTGCCCATATAAGACAGTAAACCTAATCAATAAATGTGTGCTCTGATATCTTCTGGCTGTTGCTTCATCTCGTTCCCTCTCCTCAGGCCTCTCTATTCCCTGAGATACAATATTATGGAAATTAGGCCAATTAATAACCCTACAACATGTTCAAGAGAAAGGAAGAGTTGCTTGTCTTTCACTTGGAATGAAAACTAGAAATTGTGATGATAGCATGTTGAAAGCCTAGATAGGCTTAAAGCTAGGCCTTTTGCACCAAATAGCCAAATTGTGAATGCAAAGGAAAAGTTCTTGAAGGAAATTAGAAGTGCTATTCCAGTGAACACATGAATCATGAGAATATAAAAAAATAAGCATATCTTTTTTCTTTTTTTACAGATAATAATTTTATAGTTTATCATTAATGCTTGAATTTTTACATAAGAATTTATGATCCTATCACAATAATGATAAATATGTGGCCATTCATTTTACAACTTCACATATGCCTACAGTAATATTTGAACAATCATTCCTTAAGTTCCTATTCTTCACATGCAAAATAAGCTACAGCCAAACACGAATAGCACAATGTGTACAGTAAGCAGATTATTTAACAGCAATTAAATTCTAAAGAGTCTACAAAAAATAATCAGAAAAATTCATTGGGAAAAGTTGTTTTTAAGATTCTATTTACACTGTCATGAACTGAAACCAACTGATATGTGGAAACTGACCATAAATTCACCAAAAAAAAATTTTGTCTTATAAGATTCAAGTCATGGCTGCATTTTCAGTGTAAGCCACCACTAAATATTTTTCTGACAAATGCAGACACATATTCACTCATTCCTCCATATTGAGGTCACTCATGATTGTCAGTACTACGGTAAAACCTTATACAAGTTGTT